TTTTTAGGCTACAGAGTGATGCACATCTCAATTATATGCTGATAACTGATGAGCACAGAGGGTTGTATGGAAACCCAGGGAAGGGATCTATCTGTTGACGCAATTTTTGTCCTAATGTCTTCACAAGTGGTAGTTAAATGGTCTCTTTCTTCCATGGTTCACTGCTGTTTGTAAAGGAGCTACAATTACTTTCTGAAGAACACCCTGATTTCTCCACTGATCAATTGATTTGCTTTTCTCCCAGAGCAACTTTTTTTTTTTTTTTTTTCCTAAGGTATCGTATGCATTCCATTATTTCATTGAGTCACTTTTGCTTTTGCTGCTGATTGTGAAATCCATTTGTCGAACAAAACAGAGTCACTCAATTTTCGGCAGGTCATAGCTGTGGTAGTTTTTTAATGAAGTCTTTTATTTAAGTTTCACAGCATGAAGATAGCTAAAAGGTCAAAAACAACAAGGAAGCCCTGCATTTCACTGACATTTAAGGCCTCCCTTAATTCACAGAGCTGTTAATTTCAAAGGGCTGTATCATTCTTCCTGAGAAGAGGAAATCACATAGCTCTTTTTCCTGTGAGTTATCACACATACAGTACTTGGCACAGTGTTGTAGCATTTTTGCACTTCAGTGGAAGAAAACTCCAATTGGATGCTTTCCATGCAAAAGGAGACTCAATTAAATTCTTGCATTATGAGGAGTAAGCAAAGAAGAAATGAGGATCTCTGTTCATGTTTGGCTATATGAGATCCAGGACCATTTTCAAGGTCCCATGGCCGAGGTTCCATGGTACCATGGGCAGGCACCACACCAACAGGACACCCAGGCGTGGCTGATCTCCCTTCCTCTACCTCCTCTTCTCAGAAAGGAATGGTGGGTGCACAGCCCAGCGAGGAGCCAGGAGGTCTCCCAGTAGGTCAAGTCTGGATGTGGTTTCTGGGGTCCACTACGTGCCAGCAGCCTGGCAAATGAGTTTAAACCAAAATGTTTCAAGGCATGCTCTTATTTCAAGATGCAAGGCATGCTCTTGTTTCAAGGCTTAGCTCTGGCAAAGTAGAGAAGACATTTTCTTCCTAGGTGAAGGTGACAGAAAAAGAATAATCAAGCATTTCAATAAATATACTATTACTTCAGCAATTTAGTTTAAGGGAAGGAAAGGGAGAAGAAGAGAACAGAGTTACTTGTCCAGTTCCCTTTGATTACAGTGATAGCGGCTGTTCCTCAGCTTCATTTAATCTCCTTTTCAACATGACAAATGTATATATCCACACTCATGGGGGATATGACCACCCCAGGCATGACACATCTTCTGAGACAGCTCTGGATTCACTTGATTTTAATTGCAGTAGGTATTTACCAACCTTTCAGAGACAGATTTACCAACCAGTCAGATTATTTCACTCAAAATAAAATCTTGCATATGCAGAGATATTACTAGAGGCAGGAATATGGTCATTTAATTAAGGTGTTATAATGTAGGGTAAGTGATACAGGACGTGATCAGCAAAAGGTCAGTTGTTTCCTTTTGTTATGATCATTTACTTTGGCAAGTAAACTTTTAATGGTTTAGGACCTGGAGGATGGCTAGTTTGGATAAAATCCATACATGTACTGATGGAGGTCTAAGAAAATGCCTTTAATATTATCACAACAATAACATTTTATTCTCAACAGGTCTGCAACTTTCCATATTTTTCCGGTTTGTTAACATCTTTCCAAAAAATGACCTGTGCATTTAACACTGAATAGCAATTCTGTGTAGGGCCTTTCATCAAAGAAGGACAGCAGAATACACAGTGTATTTATTTATTCTGCTAATTGTGCAAAAGCAGCATTATATGGATTTGAATCACTTTGTTCACAAAGTTCTGTCACCTCTTCAGTGAAACATGTCATGTCATCGTACTATGCAACTAGGTAAGATGAAAAATAGCAAAGCTTTATTCAGGGAAAGTGTTTGGAGAATTTAGATATGTTGAATGTAGCTACCCAGCTGTCACGTACCACCCAGCCGCTTGCTCACTCCCCCTCAGTGGTATGGGGAAGACAATGGGAAGGGCAAAAGTGAGAAAACTCGTGAGTTGAGATAAACACAGTTTAAAAGGTAAAGCAAAAGCTGCACATGCAAGCAAAGCAAAACAAGGAATTGACTCACCCCATCAGCAGGCAGGTGTTCAGCCAGCCCCAGGAAAGCAGGGCTCCATCTCAAGTAATGGTTACTTTAGAAGACAAAGGCCATTACTTTCTGCTTGCCAGGATGCTGCAGCCAGTAGGTCTACAATTACACATTGGTTTTGATAATTCTAATTTCCCATGATTGAAGGCAGTTGTACTGGTGCTTTGACAGCTTTGTTCTGAGATCTGGTCTGAGGCTAAGGAAAAGGAGCACAGAGATTAATTTCTTCCCTGTGATTTCCCAGGGTGTTGCAGGAGCACCCCAAGGTGCTGCTCCAGTGCTCCGACCCAGACATCTCCTGGTTCTGTGCGAGGGTGAGAGCAGCTGTGTTCCCTGTATTCCCACACCTTTGTCTCTGTGGCAGGATAGCTGTGCGTACCAGCAGCCACGAGGATCTCCAGCATGGTGTGGTGGTCGAAGGGCCATGGGGCACATCATCCATCCACCCTTCCTGTGCAAATACTGCCTTCCACATTTAGTGTGGGTTAGCTGATTCCACCAGGCATTTGGCTCTGCACCAGCACACCTTTTTTACTCACCAGCAACAAGGTTTTCCTGCTGGTATATGGCGTGGCTAGGAAAAGGCAGACAGATCAGTCCAAGGGCAGCTGTGTTGCCCAGCAATGGGCTCTGCATGCAGGAGAGAGCCACTTGCACTGGGAGAATCTTAACAGAGAGGATTGTGTTTCACAGATTAGCCGTGCCTTAAAAAATACTAAGCTCTGTGCCAAAGTGAAGCTCATGTTGCCATTTGATAGCTTTCTGAGAAAGATTTGGCTGTATAAATGTCTGGTAAACACTACAGTTAATTAGATGCCTGCATCTGCACATTTAGTGAAATATGCAGTCAGATATTGATTCCAGCCGCAAGACTCTCGTAAACAAAGTCATTGAAGATATGTGAAGTGTTTGGGTGAAGATCCTTATATAACAAGATTATCCAGCTGAAACCTTCAAAATTCTAAATTAGCAAGAAAATCAATATAAGAAGTAAATTCCATCCAGACGCCCATGACAAGGCAAAATGGTTATTAAAAAATAAGAGCTTTGCCTACTTACCATCACTGCATATACAAACACAATACAACTTCCTTCAGTATTATTAGATATGAACTGTGTTTTCATAATCATTGTATGAGTTGGTGATGATTTCATACCACTAAAGCTAGTTTCTGAATACTTTTCAAAGTAGATTTTTACTGTTTATTTGGCAATTGTGGACAAAGGACAAAACAGCATTTTTTTCTAGAGTTTCCTGTTATTAAAGGATAAGAACAAAAATAATTGCTAAATATATTTATGGCTTGGCATGTATGAAGTTTTGAACATGTCTAACTTCTGTGTTTGCAAAAAAAATTAGGGGTGTACAAGCTTGTGTGTGTATAGCTATAGAGATCCTGTTGTGCCCACATAGGCTGGCCACAGCTACAGCTGTGGTTATCTTTTCAAAATCTGTCTCTTTTAGGATGTTCAAAGAGGAAATAGACAGGAAATTATATTCAAGGTGAGTTATTAGTTAATGAGGGTCAGAGAATGTTATCTTTATCATATTTCCAAGACTTCAGTATTATGTTATCTTCTTTCTTAGTTGAAAATGCTCTTCAATACATTCTTTACTGCTTACAGAAAGTTTAAAGATATTGATCATCAATATACTCTTAAATATACATTTTCTTGAGTTATTGGAACACTGAACTATTTGTGAAGAAAATATTTTTGCTTGAGTTAAAATGTTTACTTCATTTGAGTTCCATTTAAATTCCTCCTAGCATCTTATCTTTAAAAACAATGCAGAACTGAATATTACAATATGACTTTTAAAATCTCATAGGTGTATGCTTATGTATTGTGTCCTAGACTTGAAAAGTGTGAAATGAAGGTCCTATGATTTGTAGCAGTGGTTGTCAAAGAACAATATCGGAACAGACAAAAATAGTGGGGAAAAAACCAAGTTAGCTGTAACAAATAACAATATCAGAACAGACAAAGAAAGTAGGGAAAAAACCAAGTAAGTTAGCTTAACTTTTCTAGATCTTGTGATGTGTTAGAAAATTAAATGAACAGAAAATGATCTCTGCATTATTGGGAGAAACACATTCCCTCCTTTATCCCATCAACTGTAAAGAATTTTTGCTCATGAATGGGAAAATAAGTGAGTTTGAAGCTATGTAAGAAGCAGTCTTGGACCTTCTAACTGCTTTTCTTCAGTTTGCAGGCACCAACTTGAAACTTTTGGTATTACCATCCTGAAGTATCAAGCTCACTCTGTCCAGCATCAGGGCTTGAGACATCAGCTGCAGCTGATCACAAAGATGCCCAAATAAACCCAAATGGAGGACTGAGAGAGATGAATAGATGTGTAAATTATACAATGGAAGGGCTGGGGAGGTGGAGAAAGGAAAGAGGGTTCCACAAGTATATTTTGGTCTTCGTGTTCAGTCAGTGCTTGTTTACACCAACCTCATGATGGGAAATCTTTGATCCTTCCAGATTACATGGCCATTCTACATGCATGGCCATTCTACATTACATGGCCATTCTACATTCTACATTACATGTCCATATGTCCCTTTCATTGTCCTTTCTCATGCCTAAAGTATTTTTTCCTTGCAGACTGAAAAATAAAAAATGTGCAACCAAATACAGGCACCTTATACTTCTGAAATTAAAAATAAAGTTAGTTATTCTGCATTGTTTAACTTAAAACAGATATTAAAAGGATATTGCAGTGTTATCCCACTAGATATAGACAGTTATATCAAGGTGTTCAAAGTAGATGACTGACCTGCCCTTTTAACCTTTCTAACCTGGCTGTATACCAACGATAAAGGAGGAGGCTGTTCCTGCTGTTATTGCTACATACTCTCTGCCCACTCTCAAATTTTCCCTCATTGCTTCAGTAAATGAGGACCAAAAGGAATTACTCTACAATCCCTCACATTGCAGCTAATATGCTTTTTCCCTTCTTCAAGGAAAAAAAAAAAAAAGGAATGTAAAAGTGATTTTATTGATTGTCGGTATAAGTGTAGGTGGCTTCTTTTGCTGTTGTGTTTGTGGTAGGTATTTATTCAGTAACACCAGACAGATACATAACAGAATTGTAGCATCTTGGCTCACTATAAGCCTGGAAATTGTAGACTGCATTCTTTCATAGAATCACAGAATCATCTAGGTTGGAAAGGACCCTGGAGATCATCTAGTCCAACCGTACGCCTAGCACAGTTCCCACCTACAGCATGTCCTTAAGCTCTAAATAGACCCTGCTCTTGAACACCCCCAGGGATGGGGACTCCACCACCTCCCTGGGCAGCCCATTCCAAAGCCTAACAACCCATTCTGTAAAGAAATGCTTCCTAATATCTAGTCTGAACTTTCCTTGGTGCAACTTGAGGCGATTCCCTCTTGTCCTGTCACTTTCTACAAGGCTAAAGAGGCTCAAGCCCTCTCAAATCTCCTCTTTATCAGAACATTTCCCTGAGCATTAGTTGAACAGTTTCAAAACATGTTATACTCAACAATTATAGCAAAGAGTAACAACTATCTTTCTGCTGGAAAAAAATTTGAAGGCACTGTTCAAAATTGAAAAAGGACAAAAATAATTTAAAAAAAAAAAAAGTAGCTCTAACTTGATTCCAGACTAACACTCTAAAAGGCATGTGAGTACATTCCTGTATGCTGTGTTATTTATTTATCTTCCAACATCTTTGGTGGGTTAAGAAACCCCTAAATTCTGTCACCATTAAAGGTATCAAATAGTACTGTCATGGATCAGTGAAGTGGATTTTCAATGGACTGCAGGGAATCTTCCTCATCTTGCATCCATTTCTGTCCTTTAAGGGTTTGATTTTCTTTATCTAGCACAATGGCTTCTCAGAAATAACTTGCCTAGGATCAGTCAATTACCAAGACACACTTAATGTATGATTTCAGGTATTTAAGCCAGAATCTCTCAAGACTGTTGGTGAGGTTACCACCAGCTTTGTCTCACACATCAACCAAATCTGAAATACCAGAATAGGGTAAAGGTGAAATCAGGTTGGATAATATTTTTGTGATGTATGATCACAAAAATCATTTGTAGATAAGAGACTGACAATTTAAGAAGTGGGTCACAGAAAGTCAAAACTTGCACACAACAAATATGAACCATTACATTTTTTTGTATGACATGTTAATGAACTTTTTGTAATACAGTTATTAGGATGCAGTAGGAAAAGTAATTTTCGTTCTTCTCCATGTTGACCTGTGTGTTTATTTGCCTTCTTGAATTATTTAACGTTATATGTTTGAACAAGTCTCAGCAACTTCTGTAAGTGCACTGGCACATCTCAAAACAGACAGCCATACTCATCCTCTTGACCTGCAGTGATTTGCAAATGTTTTTCTCACTTCAGTTGCTGAGAGTGGATAAGACATGGTGAAGAAATTCTTTGTGTGTTAACTACATCCTTTAAGCTGATTTAGCTTGACATCAGACAATAGCATTCACTTACCTAGAAAGAAACTGCTGGTTGTATCTAGAGAAATTCATACTGGGAGGGAAACCATGGTGATAATAAAAATAATCAAGTTTAATTCTTGGTCCAACTATACCCTGTTTGTACTAGTGGACACTGGGATATTTACAGCTCTGAGTTTATTAATTCAGTGTTTAAAATCAATTGTTCAAATATTTGTCTGTTCAAATAGTTTGTCAAATAGTTTGTCCATATATTTAAATAATCTCTTCTTTTAATTTGTATTTTGATTTGTTTGCACCATGAAGCAGGACAAAAAGCCAGAACCAAGTTCAAGTGTTTCAAAAGTGTAGCTAAAACTGAAATTAGCTGCTCTAAGGATGAGGGACCAAGGTGACTGATGCCCCTTTGAAAACCTGGATTCTTTCAGTGTTTTTGCTCTCCTGGTGCCAAAAGGAGAGACCAGAGATGGGAGTGAGGAAGGGACCATTTGAGCAGCAGATCTACATGGCAGAAACTCCAGATTCCCATCACCATGTTTCCAAAAGAATCACAATGTTCCCTGGCACACAGATTTCTCATGCTCTAGGATTTGATTTACTCTAAATTATCAGTTGCACAGATCTCATTCACCTGTTCATCAGAGAAAAATAAGCTTTCAGCAGCTGAAGAGAGAGGGAATGCATTTCTAAAGTGCTTAGAAAGTAAGGAGGAAAGCTTAAATCACTCGTAGCTTGTAAGACCAAACCAGAGGAGAGATTTAAAGACTGGCTAATAGCAAAGATAATTTAAGTGAAGCCCTTTGAGAGGGCTGGGGAGAGATGCAAATATGATGGAAGACGTAGAAACAGAGCCCACTGATTTATCCTTTGTTACAGGAAGGGTCAAAATAGCAAACCATTTGTGTAAGGATGGCTGAGAAGCTGGCAGAGGTAAAGTGGAAAGGAATGGAAGAAAACTCAGTGGTTCCAGCCATTTTGGTAATGAACTCTTTTTTTTCTATTAGAATTGAAAAGGCACTTCGGTCCAATTCTTACACTGAAAGCTTCAGAACAATGCACATCAGCATGGAAGAGATTTCATCTTGTATAGCAGCACAGGGAGAGGTCCAGAAAAAAGTTCCCAAGAGCACCCGTATGTTGGTTGAATTTAGTCAGGGAATTTTCTGATGATTTTTTGCATTCCACTGGAAAAGGTTCACTTGAGAGGAAACCTATTTAAAATAATTCTGATTAGACCATTGGTGGCAGAGCTTTTGCTGCTGCAGGATAGTAGAATAACATGTGTTTTTGAGACTGGTAACACTGCTGGGAAATAAAAAACTTGCATTTGCTTTCAAACTGTTCCACAGCTCAGGCGGGATTCAGTGCTTTCTCTTCTGGGGGTCAGTCCTCTGACTTTTATAAAAAATGACAGTTTTGAGAGTTAATGGCTTCACATGATTCTGAATGAAAATATTTGTCTTGATTCTGAAAGACTCTTTGGAGAAGGGAGATATCTATTCAGATCTCTATGACCAACAGCAGACATACGGAATAAAAGCCAACAGTTAAGGCTGAAAATCTGATGGACTGTCAGAAGCAGGAACTAATAGCGTTTTAGAAGGAAGAGGAGTGCCATTTTACATGAGAATGTCTGACACTCATACCAGAGTGATTTTGAAAGTTGTAGTGTTTCTGCTTGTTTTTATATGCTGTAATACATATTCCAGGTAAAAACAAGAAACTAATAAAGATAAAACAGAAAAGGTACTAGCTGAGACACTTTCTCATATTGAAAGCCCACACCATGCACTCTTCATACTGAGATAAATGATTAGTAACCATCAAACACCTCCCTGTGCTGCCTGTATAGGCTTATTTTTAACCCCTTCTAACTGATAGTAAGCAACACTAGCAATCCTTTGCTTGCTTAAAGCTCATCTTTCTCAACACACTCGAAATTAAATGCATTTCTGTTTCTGTCACTGTCCTTCCCAATCAACTGCTAATAAAAGGAAAACACAGGTGTGCTGAATAATAACCCTGGTCTTTCAGTGTTCACCCCAATTTCTGAACACTTACCATCAAACCTATTGTTCAGGGCAGCACAGTCCACTTGCAACCTGCCTAAAGAAGAAGCAGTACCCCCATCACAGAAAGAAAAGCAGGTGAAATGCAGAGATATTTGTATTCCCGTGGTAGAAAATGTTAATCATAAAATGGAGAGTGGAAACCCTGAGGTTGCTTCAGCATGTTTTCAGGGCTGTTGGATGACAGAATGCCATCTAATGGAAATGTCCCTTTCTAGCAGTGCAAAGTGAGTGTGTGTAATGTAGCTATATAGTGTTCAGGGGCTTATTTTTTTCATGTTTTTCTGTGCCATGTTAGCGTTGCATAACAACCTTAAGTGTTGCACAGTATTTTTCAGCTTGAATAATTTATACTTTTTTTGCAGTGAATCTAGTGCTAATAACCATGGACATTGTCAAGGGACATTTTATCCTAATGCCTCCTTTTGTTTTATTCAGTAGGAAATTATTGTCCTGATATTCTCAATTACAGTAATTCAGAGAAAAATAACTGCAGCAAATACTATTCTGTGGTATACAAAGAACATCAAGGCAGACATAAGAATATGAGAACCTTAGCTGGCTGGTCCTGTGATTACGATATTCTCAATATTCTTTCCCTTTCCTGCAGAAATAAGATGTTTGTGCCATAGCTGATTTTGCTGCTTATTTTTTTTTCCCCAAGCAGCCTGTGCTTGCTCTGATATTCCTAGTTCAGAAAGGGTCTTTTTTTCTCTTATTCATATGTAGAGACAAAATACTTCCTTCGCCTGACAGTTTCCCACTCTGGTAAGTTCATTTTACCATCTGTGGGTTTGTTGTTTTTTTTTTTTTCTTTTCTTTTCTGTTCTCCGTGCCTCTGTGCTCCCCTTTTCCAGCTGTAGATACTTCTAACTCCTGCTCCCCAGGCAGTCCAACCCCTTGAGTACACATCCAGTTATTCTACTGCTCTGGCCACAGAAATAGAGGGTTTTTGGTCTTTTCCTATTTGCAGAGGGAGTCAGGGAAGAATGAAAGGAGGGAGACATAATGGAGAGGAAGAAAATTCATCCTGTCTTTGCTTGTGGGTTATCATGGAGGTCAGGCCTAGAAACTCCTGTGTGCTGAGAACTACTGCCTGAGCTCTCCTGACACAGATGCTTTGCTTTGCCCATCCCACAGCAGCCCCTTCCTTCACTCTGCCCCTGGATCACTCTGTGGCTGAAAGCACAGCAGGCAGCCCATAATTATGTTTTCTCAGGTACAATTGCATCTCTGACAGTCTGTATCTTCATATAGCCTTGCTGGAAGTGTGGGTAAAGCAAAACAGCGAAAAATCTGCAAAACACACATGATGTCCAGAACACAGAGGACGGGATGGAGATCCAGTGATTTGTGTTGCCGTGGCATCAAGGAGGAATGTGAAGCGAGGTGGAAGCCGCTCAGTCCTGTTCTTCCACTTTTCTCAAGGAACATTTGACATGACTGTGCTCTTCCTCCGCTCTCAAGAACTGTTTTGCAGCCTCTCTGTTTAGTTGTTTGTTTGTTTGTTTGTTTGTTTTTCTTTCTGTGGACCTTATCTCTCATTCTTCTTTTCCCACAAAAACAGCGCACACCTTGCACCAAGGAATGTGCTGTGTTGTTACTCAGGAAATAACGGCTTGACCACAGTCCCACCCACTCACACATACATACTTAGATAAATACTACCCCGAGTTTGTATTTAACTTCGAGGGACGATCATCTGATACCAAATCGGAGGGATAGATCAATGCTTCTTACCACCCCCCCACCCCCCCC